ACAATTGGTGACTTTCCTACATATGGTATGCTCTCAGGTTGGAACACTTTCGGTAAGTTAGCTTGTCCATATTATATGGAACATACAAAATTATTCACTTTAAAGTATGGAAGGAAGAACACTTAGTATGATTGTCATCGCATATTTTTACATCTAAGTCATCCTTTTAGGTGAAATAAAGATGTCTTTAATAAAAATAAAATGGTGATGTTGCAACCTCCTCCAAGATTAAGTAGTGAAGAAATATTTGAAAGAGTAAGATTCATGCGCACAATAATGGATTCTCCAATATTAGCTGAGTGCATATTGTTAAGATGAGTCGACGGATTTAAAGTAGTTGTTTAGTTTTATCAGTTTCATATAAACTTTTATCAGTTTCTGAATATTTGGTGAATTTTATGATGTTAATCAACAATTTATGATATTTTTGAATATTTGATGATGTTAATGAATAATTTGTAATATTTATGTTTATATTTTTTGAGTATTTGATGAAGTTGTTCGAATTTGTGCTGTAAAAATCTGTGTTGTTGAGTGATTTTTCTTAAATATTCATAATTATTTACAGGTGTGGAAATCTAATTGCTGCATGGGAAGGTTTTTTTTTTGTTTTCAATATAGGTTTTTGGTGGATAAAATGCCGGTAATCCGTCAGAAATGACGATACAATGAATTTCGTATTGATTTCCAGTGTCTTTTTTATGATGGTATTTACGACGGATATTGCGTCGGTTATGTCCGTCGTTTAGGTGTCGGCATAATTAGTTGTGTTTGTTCCACCGAAATTTTCGACGGATTTCTACGCTGATAATTTTGGCATATTTAATGACGGAATAAGCAAATTCAATTCAATATAATTGGCACCCACTTTTTCGCCTGTTTTGCACCGGAAAGTATGCGGAAAGGGTTCCGACGTATTATTTACGCCGGAAAATTTTTGCTAACGCGTTCAAAACCAACACAACAAGGCACTAAGCCCACCAATACCAACCACCAAAACAAAACAACAACCCACAAAAAAGACAACCCTACCAGAACAACCACCCAAGAGGGAGGAAAACCACACATTATCTTTTTTATTTACGCTTTCTCCTTTTACCAACCCGAATAAAATAGTCCCTCACAGCACGACTAACATTTAAATCATACAAGTCATCTTGTTAATACACCTCCATCTCCCCTGTCTCACAAGGAGATGACAGAGAAACCATAAGCCAATCAATTTGTTCCTCAATAGTTTCCCCCATACTAATTCCCAAATGGGTATTCAAAGTGTTAGAAGAAAGTAAAGCAATTGGCACATCAACAAGAAACTCATTCACATCCTCCCCCGCCAAGGAGTCCAAATAAGATCACCATCATACATAGAAGGATAAGGAACCAAACTGCAAGAAATCGCATTCACCAAAGCCATATTAATGCCACAAAATTTCTTATTACCCACAGCCATCAACTCATTACCAGACACAAAAACCTCACCCAGAGAATTACCATCAATACTTCCATCCCTAGGGGATTTAACCAAGACATTTCCAACATCATCCTCCCCAGCCACATATGCAATATCCTCTAACTGAACATTCTCACCAACAGCAGGAACCAACAAATCATTACCAGCCGAAACATCAATACCAGTGTTAACAGCATCATTTGCTCCTTAATTCTTTACAACTCTAATATAGGTTAGGGTCCATATATTTGGGCTCTTAATAACTTAATGATCAAAATTTTAAACTTTAAAATTAAGTTGTAATTAATTCATCCTAAATGATTAATCACTTAAAGAAAAAAAATTTGATTAATAAATTGAATAATATGAACTTTACTTTACAACTTGAACCCTTCACCTAAATTAGGCTAGTTAGATAACATTAATTCTACACACACTTAAGTGCTAGATATGACACCATTTATAGTCATCCTAGGGTAGGGTGTAGATAAGATAATTTTTTCATTATTATTCTTAATTTTGCACTTGTGATGATGTGATGATGTGTCTATGATTTGGATCATTTATGTTTATTTTATTTCTTTATGAGTGGGAATTTACTCCTAATTGGTTAGATTTTTTATAGAGATATCTTTTATAGGTGATCACATTCCTAATGAGCTAATAAAATGTCATAATAATTATAATGTGCTATCTAACAAGTACTATTTGGATTGCTAAGATATTGGAAATATGGTTATTATAAGGATTAGGTCTCTTTCATATAATTTTAGGTAGGAAATTCATGTAGATATGTGGGTATTTTTGAAGGTTGGAGATCAAGAAAATGAGGATCAATCAAGATCCCACATACCATTTCATTGATGTATAGTTTTGGGCCGAGTTATAATTAGGGTATATCTCAGCTACCTATTTATCTTTTCAAGGGGTTTATCGTAATACCTAGCTACACTTATGGCCTTTCATTTATTATTTTATTTTGTGATAATTGATATACTTACTCTTATTTGTGCATTAGAATGACATAATATTCTTAAGTTTCTTTGATTGTTTTATTTTGGGGTGGCTCGAATCCCGAGAGCTTGTATTTTTTATGATAACAAATATTATTGATTCTCTATTTATTTCTCTTAATATTTATAGTGCATATTTACTTTCGTGTGTACTAACATTTCAAGTACATATATCGTGCAATGAAAGATTTAGGGCTCAAGTTCGGGTCTAATAGGATAATTTTTTGCAAGAGTGTATTTTTTTTCTTTATTTTTATATCTCTTGAGTCAAAGTCATGTAAAGGTGTATGCTAACTTGGCGACTGTGCACACAAACACGAGGGGGAAAGAATAAATTTCAAAATTTTGAACTAATCGTATCATACGAACTTGATTGTACTGTACAATCAATTATTTAGAAAATCAATTAAAATGATTAATTGTGTAATTACAATTTTTGAACTAATTAATTGTACAATACGAACCAGATCATATAGGATAATTAATTTAACACAAAAACCCTACCCGCCAATCAGATCTAGATAAGTATTTTAATATTTAAATTTTGAATAGAACATACTATATAAACCAATTCATACAATATGATATTTAAAATCTTATCTAAATTAATTCTCATGATTAGTTGATTAAATCAAGGTTAATAAATATGGCAAATCATATAGTACAATATAGATCATATTGGACGATTAGCAGAAATGAAATTCATTTGGGATTATCCTAAATTAAACCTTGATTTTCGAACTAATCATACTGTACAATGTTAGTAGAGATGATTTTTAATCATCCCAGAATTTGTCATATATAATCTTAAGATGAATGAACTAATCATACTGTACTATTCAATATCGTACTGTACGATTGATATGAAAATTTTGAATAAAATCATACTACAATTGTTTAATCCGTATTAGACAAAATAGGTTTTTGACATAATCGTCTTATACAAACCCAGATCATACTGTATGATCAGAAATAACATAATTAAAATTTTAAGTTTTTTTAAGCCTCATATTAAAACTCTCTAGTTATACTTTGTGAAAGTCTTTGTCTATTGAGATATTTACATGTGTGCTTGAGATGTTTTGGAGTTTGGAGAGGGGGAAGGAGAAGTTATGTAAGAGGGACTAGTAGTGTGAGGGGATTCACACGGTTTCTCCAAGCAAGCTTCTACCTTCGTTCCTCTGAAGTTCTTTGTTGATCTTTTGGGTTGCTCATTGGAGAAAGTCTTCAAGGCCAAAGATCATCAGGTGCTCTGCCTCATAAGGATGGTGAAAAGGATTCCAAGTTCTCAACCTCACCTAAAAGGTGGAAAGGATTCTAGTTATCAGCCGCACTGTTGAAGGATGGAATTGATTTTGTAAGAACTTCTCTGTCATGCTATGGGAGCTAAAGAAGCGTCACTAAATATTTAGTGCAATACCCGGAGAAGACTTCAAGGAGTGGATATATGTCAAGGTTTGACCAAACAACTATAAAATTTATGGTGTGCTTGTTCCTTTTATTTTTCACATTTTTATTTTCTGCATATTATTTACTTAAAATTTGTGATGATAATATTGTGATAGCTTAGGATTTTTTTTTTCGAGCAAGAAAAAATAAAAATAAAAATATCAAAAAAAAAAAAATTTTTTTTTCAATCAAAAACATATAAATTTCATTTTATTTTTGATATTTATTTCTGCTTGTATTTTTGTTCAAACACCATTTAAAAAAAAATATTTTTGAAAAAAAAAATTAAAACACCAATTCACGCCCTTCCTCTCGATGTGCCTTGGGTAGTTCAAGTCCGTCTAACAACCCAAATTGAATTTTTAATTGGTATCAAAGCGAGTCTCAGAATCAATGATTTAAAAATCCATAAGAAATATCATATGAGACATTTTGGAAATAAGAATACAGTATGTTTAATCGCTATGCTATAAAATAAAATTGTACACTAAACTTTATTATGAAAACTTAAATTATTAATTAAAATTTCAAACAAATTCCTGAGAAATAAATTATTGAAAGATAAAAATTGATCTATAGAAGAAAAATATCAAATGAAAATAGATAAAAACTAGTTTGTTCTATGTTCAACTTAAAAAATATAATAATAAAGACTTCTCAGTTAAGATATATGTTAGATATTAATATGTTAAGCATTTTATATTAATAAAAAAATTATATTAACCGTCCGATCATTTATTCCCATCACATTAATATATTAATATGAATCTCCAAATGGGTCTTGACATGGGCAAATTATTGCATCCGGTCACCGGACGCGGAAAATAAGTTCGGACATCCAATAAAAATTTGCCGCGTCACCTGTGCTTTTGACTTCGCTTTTGACTTGCGCTTTACCTGCGCTTTTGACTACGCTTTTGACTTACGCTTTAGTTGCACTTTACTTGCGCTTTACCGGCGCTTAATTTAAAATAATATTTTATTAATATCCAGACATATCTCCGCGTCCGGTCACCGGACGCAAGAATTTGCCCTTGACATGAGAGAAGCGACATAAAACTTGAACGACCAATTTAGTTCAAAAATAATTTTTACAATGAAGATAAACTTCTTCGCATTTTACTATCAACCAGTTAATATAATGATACAAGCCGGCCTCTTTCTTCTTTCCACATGCAAAATTTAGAACGTAGGCCTCTGGTGAAAACTAAATACTTTATTTTTCCAATATAAACAATAAATAACCCAATATAACACAACAAAAAAGCAGCTCATAATAGCAGGAAAATAACAAGGTGATGATAAAGAAAAGTTCGGATATTATAAACAGAAGAAACAGGCATATTGCAGACCCAAATCTCTTCAGAGGCATCTCTACTACATCTCCTGCAGGTACTGATAGAAACTCCATCGTTGCCCCTCAAATTTCTCCTGCCAATGTTGAATTTTGAAGAAGTGGATCAAATAATCTGATCTAACAAAGACAATATTCAACATAAGAAAAATCAAGCTAAACAAAACTTGGAACATAAAATAATTTCTCTTATGTGATGGGCAATTTCTCTTTCATATTGAATCATAAAAGACAAATTGGAAATGAAGTCATTCTAAAGCATCTCCTGGAAAATAAGTAACGTTCAATTTCAAATTTGATAGATCAAAATGTTTGTAAGTATGAACACACATAGTTAGTCTTTAAAAATAAAAAATGAGGCAGATAGTCACAAATCATATACAACAAGTTCGCGGGCTAGAATAGAAACTCCATTATTGAAATAAACAGAAAATGTGAAGCATGTTTTTCAACGGTATATTTATATTTAAAATCCTCCATCGTGTATGTATAATCTCCTATGCTAAAATACAGGTTGTATAGCTCATCTACATCGATGATGATCCAATTTGTCTAGGAATGTGTTGATTATGGTGGACTGGGGCTACCAATATTTCCTGGAGTATTTTACGAATTTATTAAAAAAAATTCTGATTGACCAAAGCTATTGGAACCTCACATTTACACAGAAAACATACCGTCATTTCGACATAGATCAAAGTAAGAAAAATTACATCTTACTGAAAAATGAATGTCATTTATATAAAGGAAAACTTAAATTTTTGGATATACATAGATTTTTCCGTCGTTTCCCTTGCAAGCATTGCTTCGCCTCTCAATTGTGTTGCCTCAACCCCCTGTCATACCCTCGCGGGCATCCCACATCACATTCATTTGTGCTCACAATCCCCTGGGTTGCTTGCCTCCAACTCTCACGATCACACTTACACTTTCTCAACCTGTGCAACTTGCCCACGCACGCGTCCTTCCTCCTTTGTTGACATGCTACATAGCATAAAGCCTAATCGTCGTTGCCTATGGTACTCTTTTTTTATTAATTCCAACGGTTCCTCATTGGGGTTCTTGCTTGGTCATTTATGCCATCTAGCCTGAGCATCGTGTGCCTAGCTTGTGTTCGACCCATCACGTTCATCTTGGATGGCGTTCCCGTTGAACTTTTTCATTGACCGTCCTCCACTTTTTTAGTTGCCGCATTTCCTCATTCACAATCACTCCTATTAGCATCTTTGTTGCCTTCATTGTTACTGGTTAATTCTTGTAGGCATTTGTTCCCAACTCGATCCTCACCAATCGCCTAATCTGCTACCCCTCAAGACTTGACTCAAGTTGTTCCTCATGTTAGGGTGGTTCCTTAACCTGTCACATGTTCCGGTGACCATTATTTTTCTTATGATTCATATTCCTGCTTTTTAGAGCATCTAGGACTTATTTCTCCTGCTGCTAGTGCTCCTTCACTGAAGTTGTTGGGGGTTTGGATCTTAGCAGCCATCATCCAACCATTTCGCTTTATTTTTTTCAGCAAGGTTAAAACCTACATCAACACAACCTAAATTTCGCTTTAATTTACCGTTTGACTGTCTTTCTCGCCTCGTTAATTCGAGCTTCCAGGCCGGTCGTGACAAAATTGATCTCAGAGCCCGAATCATAATGAAAGATCCATAGGAATTATTTATGAACTTATTTGAGAAGACTTTAAATATTCAATTAGATAATATAATTAATTAATATATAAATATATCAAGTATGAAAATGATCAAGAGGAAGTAGCTGATATAAATATGGAAGGAGAAAGACTACCACCTGAAGTGACTGTGAACACAAATACATTTACCCAGATGATGGAAGTTATGACCCAAATGCTTCGGGAATCAAGATCGCAACTTGTAATTGGAGTGAATAAATATTTGAAATTATTTCAAGACATGCGACCACCATTATTCACGGTTAATGAAGGACCAATTGAGGAAGAAAATTGGTTGCTTCGTATAAAAAAGATTCTGAATAGCATATCATGTCCTGATTAAAAGAAAGTGTCACTTGCTAAATTTGTCTCGGACAAAGAAGCAAAAAGGTGGTGGCGAGGACAACACAAAGACAAGATAGGAGATACTTCAAGTTTACTGGTCAGCTGGGAAGACTTTGGAACTTTTCAGAGAATAGTTTGTACCTATGTTAGCATGAAGGCAGATACAAGATAAATTCATAAGATTAGTATAAAAAGATAAATCAATGATGCAATATGAAGCAGAATTTGCAACTCTATCCAGATATGCACCGCAGTTAATTATAACAGCAGAGGAGAAATATTATTGATTCTTATCTGGTTTAAAAGATGCAATTAGACAACCTTTAATACATTTAGGAATCGAGGATTATTCAGTGCTAGTAGAAAAAGCTAGAAGGGTGGAGATTGACTTCCAAATCACTCATAAGAGAAGGGACCAACATAAAAGAAAGTGTTGAATAAGATATCCAAAGCAATCATCAGATAGAAATATCAAATGGGAAGAAGTCCAACCCTAGTCCTAATGGAGTCAGCAGTGCAACTGTTAATAGAATCGTGTGCTAAGTGTGGCAGATTACATAAGGGTGAATGTCTGATGGGTTCCAATACTTACTATTGGTGTCATCAACCTAGACACATAGCAAAATATTGCCATACAATGGTTTGGAGGACTTCAGGAGAGATGAGATCAAGTGAAGCACCTTCACAAAGAAGCTTTAGCAAACAAAAGATGATAGAACCGTTAGTTTCAGCTTCAGCACAAAATCAATCCAGGCAAAATATTCGACCGCGAGTTTATGGTTTGACTTAACAAGAGCCTAATAAAACTATAGATGTTAATAAAGATGACTGAAAAGTCTTTAATATAATAACTTGTTATGCTATAGGAAATATTTTGGGTTAATCGGGTTATCTTGTTATGTTATTTCATATATTTGTTCCAATGTTAAACTTTATGTTGAATAAAAATGAAGATAATATTTTCTTATGTAACTAGAAGTTATAAGTAAATTTCGAGGACTAAATTTTTTATAAGAATGGAAGATTGTAAGATCCAGTCTAGCCATCCAATTCAATTGAACCAGCCTTAATCAGCTAGCGGGACCAAATTTTAAAAAGCACGAAGCATGCGAAGCGAGTGGGCCGATCACGATCGCGAGAGAAGCTAGCAAGGATGAATCGAGTGCGTCAGCAAGGAACATGATCAGACGCGAAAAGTGACGACTCCCCGTGGAGAATAACTGTGTTTCGCACACTCCTACGGAATCAAACGAACGAAAAGGGACTGAAAGGAAGCCGAGAGGATAAAGGAACTTTTCTGATTTGCGGGTGGCTTTGTCGTTTAAAGACGACGAAGAGAGAGATGGGGTGAGATCGAGAGAGGGAAGAGGAGAAGAGAGTCAGCACCAACGAACAAGCTTACGTACAACCTAGGGCAATGAGCAAATTTTTACATGAGAAGTTTAAGGTGCGTTTTCCGAAAAATTTTTTAGAAAATGATGACAATTTATAAATGAGAATTATTGGATTAAAATGATTAATGTTTATATCTTTGAGAATAATAAATGAGATTATGAAAAATTTTAATTGAATATAATAGATTTTTTGAATTTTGATACAGATAGTACATATTTAAGAGAGATATAATTAAATTATAAATGAACTAATATAGAAATTTAATTAGAAAAATAGTAATAATTAAGTTAAAAAATTTCATCTAGAAAGAGGTGACTACATTTTATTATTAATTTAATAAAATTTAGTGATAAAATAAGCATTATTAGAAATATATTAAATATAAGAATACTTAAGTGTTTTAACAAGTAAAATTTGAGAGAAAGAGTAAGAGTGCATGTATTTTAAATTTAATAATCATGACATCTTAATTAGTCAAATATTTTATTATTATTTTTAAGAATTAAAATATATGTAAAAAAAGTTTTAAATTGTTAAGTTATAGAAATTAAAGAGCAAATGATAAGTTAAATTTAATAAAGTGATATTTTATAGGCTTTAAATCTACTGTCATTGGAATAAGGAGTAACAATGAAACAGTTCATTTCTTAAGTTCAAGATGACTCACTCATGTCTTTTAATTACAATAATGATTTTATTCTTTCTTAAATTAAATATATTGAAAGATAGTCATATATGCTTATTAAATATTTATTGCAAATTAGATTATGATATGTCTTCTTCATATCCAATGATTGACAATATCGAATCAAATGAAAATACATATGTTATTATTAATATTTTCATAAAAGATAAATGAATGATATGTGAATGATAAGATTTATGTAGAATATTTGCATGTGAATGTTGACTGATGGAGCACACCTCCTTATGGTACTGACCACGGACGCAATGTACCCGCATGCAAATGGAGAAGGTTATGAAAAAGGAAATAGAAATGGAGTACCTTCATTGGTACTAAATTAGATGGTCGCTTCTATAACGATTGTATTATTTATGAGAAATGAGACACATATGAATACATATATGATATATATATGATTTATGCAAAACATTGAAAGTCTTGATGAAATGATATGATTAAATAAAATTATTGTATGATATGAAATGAAAAAAGGGATCATGCATATTGTTCCAATTGTCTTGAGTTATTATAATTTAGAAGCATGTTTTATCCATTAAGTTGTGGCTTACTTTAGTTGTTGTAACATTTTCATGTATAATTTATTATAATCAAAATAAATAAAAGAGGTAAAAATGTGTACTGTAGATGTGGCGCGGCGAAAAAAAATATTTGAATGATTTTGTATCAATTTATTTTTGAAGTTTTAGTGGCTCTTTTAATGTATTGGAGATAGATTTAGCAAATGAAAATTTAATTTACCGTCCGATTGTCTGTTCTCGCTTCATTAATTTGAGCTTTCGGTCTGGGTTGTTACAACATGACAACAAGATCAAACCTTCAATTTTAATCCAAAGGCTCAAGGTAAATCATGCATACCCTATTTCAATAAAATTCAATTTAATTTGGTTTTCAAACCGATCACCTTAACCAAATTGAACCAATTGATTTCCATGATATTAGAGCCCTAAACCAAACACATCAAATCAAGCAAAATCGGACTTTTTTGTTTTGGTTCAATCTTTCGGTTGTTTTTATGTCCACCCTTAATTTCAAGTACCCATACATTTTATCACCCAACTAACAGTTCTTTAATACAAACAAACGAGTTTTATACGAATATAAAAAGTTAACCAAAAAAAAAAAAAATGGAACGATATAGCTTGCAGTTTTCCAGGTATTAGGTACGTCAGGCCAAGAAAATAAAAATAACTGCAATGATTTACTAATAACGGAAGATAAATTGCAGCAATAATATCTATGGTTCAGGATAAGAGTGGACAAAACAACACGACCAATTAAACATGCATATGAAACTTATAGAAGAGAGAGCCATCTACCTTAGGCCTTTTTGTGAGGCATTAAATGAGGGAAAAGACCAAGAACATGTTCTGCCATAAAGTCATGTCGTGTAAGAATGCCCACAATTGGATGCCTCTGTTAAACATAAATAAACAAATAAAACAAAACAAAAATTAGCTATGAGGTAATAAAATCACATTTGTAAGTAATTCTAAGCAATAGTACAGTGAATATATTCAACTCTCAACTGCACGCTAAAATGAAAGAAAAATAACGATAAAAAACTTTCGGCAAGTAAAGATCATTGCTGCATAATTACAAAAAAAGTTACTTCAATTCAAGACTCGTGAGAACTTCAAAAAAATTTCTCATATAAGAAATTTTACAAAATAAGTTATAATGAAGCCATTTCTTGGCCATAATCCCTGTAGTTTAAAAATTCAAAAATCAAAAGAAATAACCCAGAACCTATGATGCACCAACACTTCCCCTCAAAGAGGCGTGCAGTGTCCGCACCGTGTCCAACACGACACTCGTCCGACACTCCTCCGACACGTGTCGGACAAGCTGAAAACGTGTCCAATTAAAAAATATTAAATGCAAATTGGACACGCGTGTCCGACACGCGTATCTTAAATATTTTATGAATTTTTTTAAATATAATTTCTTGTATTTTTCATCTCCTCTCTCGGTGACAGATAAATGGCATCGACGCCTGAAATATTAATTATTGTTTCTTGAAACTTACCAAAAAAGCTAATGTACATGCTCAATACTGTTAGGTATCGCTAGGTACATGCTCAGTACCGCTCAGTACATGCTCGGTACTGCTAGGTACAAGCTCGGTACCCCTAGGTACATGCTCGGTACCGCTAGGTACATGCTCGGTACCGCTAAGTACATGCTCGGTACCGCTAGGTACATGCTCGGTACTGTTCGGTACATGCTCGGTACCGCTCAGTATATTTTCATACAAATAACTTATGAACTTTAAAAACAAACATAACTTAAAGTATCATTCTATTCCTGTTGTGAGAGAAATTGGAGCACATACTCATTTATTCAATCAATGAAGATGAATAAAATAACTCCACAACGAGTTGAAGATTTAGTTTATGTGCATACAAATCTTCGTCATTTATTAAATAAAATCCCACTTTATATAACATGTGATAACAAGATGTGGGATGTTGCTGGAGATGTGTTCGAGTGTCTTGATGATATGAGATTATTGGAGGTTGCAAATCTTTCTCTAGATGAACCAGAGTTGGAAGCAATGATATTCAATGATGATGATATTGAAGGCCAAAGATCAACATCTGAATCTAATTCTATCATTCCTTCTATTGAGTAGTTGGACCTTTATGTTGTACTAAATGATTTTTTGCTTAGTTTTTTGTGGTTGTACTAAACATTTTGTACTAAACATCTTTATGTTATAAGCTAAACAAGTTATCATGAAATTAATTTATTATTGCCTGTCATTTTTAATATAATATCATCTTAAGTTCTATATATTATATTAAAAAATTATTATGCCTTGTCCACGCCGCACCCGTGTCCTATATTTTTAAAAAATGCCGTGTCCCGTGTCCGTGTCGATGTGTCCGTGTCGGTGCATCATAGCCCAGAACATTGGACCACAATTAGAATGCGCCTTGGTAGAAATGAGCCAGTGAGCTAGTAAATTCCCATCTACAAATATGAACTAAACACTGCTTTAACTGCTAAGCTCAGTAAAATGAAATTAAAGAAACTCTATTCGAATTGAACATCAAAATGAAAGAAGGATCTTGCATAAAATGGACCGGTTCTTTGGCTAAATTTATCCTCAAGGTTGACAAACAAGAGGAAAATGCGGTGGATTTATGCCAAGTTCAATTTCTAGTACAGTTGGTTGCCAAAGTCAAATGAATGTCAATTGGTATGACTGGAAGCTTGCATAGTTTATTCATTTACACTAAGGAAGCATTTGTTCTGCAGAAGTAGTGAAAATCATGGAACTAAACAGTTTTAGGCCCTTATCGATCAATTGAGTTTCAGGGATTTCAAAGCCATGCTCAGAAAAATCCATCAAAATAGAAATCTCACATAATGATTAAATGATGCAATCATTTAAAATGGAGTCCATAATTTCTGATACCTAGTAATTCAAGAATTTAACTTAATTTGCAGGAAATTAAGCTTGCATATCGAATACTACACGAAACATTTAGAAATGCAAAAATATAGTATATAGGAACACACGATCAAGCACGTGCAAACAAAAAAAAAATGTTAAGGGTGGGGGGGCAGTGCAGGAGTGTGGTATTACCCCTGGAGTCTTAGGCACAACGAGCAAGTGCCGAAGTCCAAGTTCTCGAAAAAGCACTGCAGCCTTGGCTAATGACATTGTTTCGACCACAGTGTAAGGAGACTTGTTAGCAATTGGGTGAAGATCCACATACAGTTCCATTTCTTCTTCAAGAATATCCAAGTCTTCCAACTTCATTCCCTTCCCTGAACCAGCTTTAGCAAAGTCAAAGGCACCAAACCTTTGCAACACCTCAGACAGCCTAGTTGGCTCTCTCTCCTTCGTGAATTTCTTTCCTTTAAGCAAGACAAGCAAGTGTGACCTCAGCACAAGACCAACCAACTCCGGTGCATATGTGAAAGGTGGTTCATCAACCACCGGAAACCCATTATGGCCTGTCATCTTTAGAGCATGGATAATGTTACCCACCTTTTCCACTCCAGAAAAGGTAATGAGAGGTCCAGAGACAACATCCCCTGCAACCATATGTCTCATGTAAGGCTCCGCATGAGCCTCCAAGTAAGGCAAACCTTTCAACTTAACAATCTGATCATAGACCCCCTTGTTAAAGCAATCAGCTACGGTTTTAGATATGAGGAGAACAAGCATAACCAAGGGAAGCATTAGAAGATTGTTAGTGAGCTCCAACAGAATAACGCAGAGAGAGACGGTCATTCTCATAGTTCCACCAAGAAAAGATGCAGCACCAAGAACAGCAAAAAGACCAGCATTTAAGTCCGTAAATGAACCCAGTAGGGTCCCAACAATGCGACCATAGGAAGCTCCAGCAAGTATGACAGGGATAAAAAGGCCAGAAGGGATAGCAATCCCATATGTTATAAGGCCAAGGCAATAAACAGAAGCAAAGAAGATGAAAAGTGTTGATATGTAGAACTCGTTATTGGTGCCACTACTGAAGAGGTTACGAATGGCATTCTCGTTGGTGTTAAGAAAGAGGGATGCAAGGTCATTGTAGTGGCCAGGGGGACACTGAAAGTTCTTGTAATTTCCAGATTGACCAATTGCAGGGCATTGTTCCTGAATATTGGAAGGGCATGGTGTGCAAGTTCCAAACCAAGGGATACCATATGAGCAGCATGAGGTTAGGAGAGAGATAGTGACAGCCAGAAGAATCTTAAATGGTGCGCCTTTCCTGCATGCAGTCGTGAATTAAGATCAAATACGAAAATGCTGGGTATTTTCATTCTAAGCAAAAGATGCAACTTTAAAGTAGTTAAATGGACCTTCAGGTGCTTACTCATTTACAATGCTGTAAGTACGTAAAATCTTGTCGACAAAGAAATTGTAAAGGCTTCCAAACACGCCACCAATTACTCCAAGAACAATAACTGCCACCAAATCTGCACTGTTATATGTCGTCACACCTGAACTTACGTCAAACATGATTAGACCCCCTTTTCCGAAAAGCCCACATTTACCAGTACGGCAGTACCCTATGAAGCCTCTCAATACCACAGCAACCACTGCAGTAGTAAAAAATGTTCTCCAAAGGAGAGCACTACGCCACCTAAACAATACCAAAAAAATCAAATAAATCTTAAAGGTTTTTTAGGATTCTCGGTTGTATCATAATATCAGTAAGATTCCTTCCATAGGCGAAAACCAGTTTATTAATAAGTATTATTAGATTATTTCCATTTAGAAATAATAACACAGGTCAATAAACATAGGTTAGAATTTTAGCTTATGAAATCTCTTCCTAATATAACTCATTAGGATTTAATCTGTTATTTGTTATTCTCTGCGAAATCCGGACAGAAAGAACCATTTGGATTGCTACATATTTACTAAGTATTTATAGAGTAATTGTAAATACTTATCAAATACTCAATAAATACGAAGTAAATCAGCAAATAATATATAAATACTCACAAAATACTCAACGAATACTCAACAAACACATGAAATATTCAGTAATACTCACAACTGATTTTTTGCTGAATATTTACTGAGTATTTACAAATACGAAGCAAATACTCAGTAAATAAGCAGCAAATTCGGACGGTTCTCGCCGTCAGGACTCCGCACATAATAATTTCTCCTTACATGGACAGTCGTATATCCAATACTTGGATTTGTTGATTTAGCCACAGTTGATTCAGTTTTTCATTCCAATTAATTTTTATGTATGCAAAACAGATCCAACGATCCATTCGATGAAAAGCATGATTCAAGTCCTTCCTATTAAAAAAAATTGCTGCTTGTGCCTCAGAACACTAAGGGCAAGACATAATAGTTTCCAACGATCTAAATGAAAAAAATCTTTTCATATTATGATGCATGCAGAGAGACAGAACAAACAAAGAGGAAAAATTAAAAACAAAATACCAAGAAGCTGCTTCTTCTAGAGCAAAGAGAACCCCACCAACAGGAGCTCTGAAAGCCCCTGCCACACCAGCAGCAGCTCCACAGGTGATCAAGTCCCGCCGATCACGATCACTTTTAAAGTATCTAAGCCATCTACATGTCAAATGGTACTTGCGAGAACCACCCTGACCTAGTAAGTTGGCAATACATGCTCCAGTGTGAACCATAGGCCCCTCCTTACCCACCACAAACCCAGCAGAAACTCCAAGAATTGAACCAAAAATCTGCAGACAACATATGTAGCCAATTCAAAACACACTATGCAACAATGAAAACACATTCAAATAGAAAATTAGGATGCTAAGGGGCTGTATGGCAACCGATTTATCTACTTAGCATTTAGTAAATCCTATAAATCCTAGATTTAGTAAATCCTGGGATTATTAAATTCTGAAAATTGTTTGATAGTTTAAGTGCTAAATCCTGTTAAATCTTCTGAAACTATTTGGCAATATAATCCAGGATTTATGACGATTGTTCATTTAAAATTAAATATATTATATTTTTAATTTAAATTACCTCTTAAGTAAGATTAAATTATCAATTAGTATCTTGATTAATATTAATAAGTTGTAATGATAATTAATATCAATAGAAACAGGCTCAATTATTAATTAATATACTTAATATTTTAATTAAGGATTATAGTTCTAAGTATCAAAGCACTTAGTTGTTAATTAAATAAGTAGTTGATATATAATGAATTAGTTAATAATTTTTTGAAATAACTAATTATTTAATTAATACGCCTGATTAAAATTTCAATAATTATTTAATTGTTATTTAATTTTTAAAATGATTAATTGTATAATTAATTATCTCATTAGGCAGTTAAATATTCTACTACTCATTAATTACTTTATGATCATTCATACTATTAATTATATATTTTAATAATTTATATTTTAAATTATATTTATTAAGCAAAATAAATTAAATTTAGATTACTAACTATACAACCCGCCCGCGATAAGAAGTTAAGTCTGTTGAACGCACGCACTAAGCTTAAGTTCCTTCTTCCTTCCACGCGCTTCTTCGGCCAAATCCAATAAATCCGCCTAACTCCCGGATTTACTAAATTCGGGATTTACTGCAAAAAGTTGGTAACAACGGATTTATTCAGCCATGGGATTTACGTCGAGTGTAAATCTTGTTTGGCGGGATTTAGGCTAAATCTTGCTCAAATCTAGCATAAATCATGTTGCCCAACAGCCCCTAAGGAACAATGAAAATAGAATTTATGCATGGCCTAAATAAAGCAGTAACTTTCATGTTTATGTAACTTATTCCTTTTTTTAAGGGAAGACTATATGTTTGAGCCATTATTTTTCAAGCATGTCCACACTTGAATTTGGATGAAATTTTCCGCCAAAGACCCCTTGAAAAGAAAACAACAAAGCTCACCCCAACAAGGAACATGACTGAGGTTCTACAAAAAAACTATATAAACAACCCCCATATAGAATTCACAGTTATTAAATCCTTGTGAGCTCCAGAAAAACGTCTAAAGCATCCCATTCTTTCACAATCAGTTTATTTTGTGAGAAAGGAAGTAATGAGTTGAATTGCACTTTATAAAACAAAGCAACGTTTTGAAGGTATCACGATAGCAATGGCACTACTCAACAAATGATTTTAACCATATGACGCCCTTCACATGGGTGTCATATACACACGATACAAAAATGATGTCTTGTGGCGCATAAGAATAAGTAAATAGTAGAGTTTCTATTTATCATTATCATAATTCCTTCAATCGGAGAAATTGGATGCAAGCGTGATGCAAGAGAATCGATAAAGACCCAAATGTATTATTAGACACCATATCATAACTCATAAGGAAACATTAGAAATTAAAATATAGAAAACATTCCCAATTTAAGAATTATAAGTGTAAATAAGACTAACAGCTATGTTGATAAGGAAAGGATTTAATGCCCTTTGATATCAAGAAAATGACGCTAATAACCAAAACAAATCAAATTATCTTCAGACAGAACTCTGAATCTTCCTGTTTCCCAAAAAAAGTAGGTGCACAGAAGTCGATCAAAATCAGATAGAAAATTGCTAATCTAGAAACAGGACAACATAAATTAATATGAACAAATATACCATATGCAAAAAGTTAAGACATTTATAAAAAGAGGTGGAAAGCCCAAAGAAGGATAATCAGGTTATGTGTTGCATAAAATCCTTGTCAATCTGGAGTTATGCGAACAAGCCTTCGGTCTCGTTTGGTTGCGGCATTCCTTTTGCATAAGCGGAGTTCAAAGAAATGGAGTAAGCGGAGTTTGGATAAGAGGCATTTTTTTCTTTTGAGATCAGCAGAATTACGGAAATATAGGAAAAGAGATTCTGCAAAAGGCATGTTAACAAACAATACACAATAATTACTTTCGCCGATTTAAACCGAAAATGACGTAATTAAGGAGAAACAAACGAGGCCTTCAACTATGCAGAGAGGTCAAATAATGGTGATAAGATATGTACCTATTAGTAGGAAAACTAAAGACGAATAAAAAAACAATTGGGTCAATAGTTAGCAAAATTTATATCATGGTAGCAGAGATAGATTTCTTGAAAAGTTAAGTTGATCACAGACGCCAACCTTGAGTAACATTTTAGGTCAGTTTGAACCACAAGTTTTGAGGCTTTAAATCTTCCTGACAATAGTCAACTTTATATACCAGCAAATCACCTCAGCAACAGGCTCTTCAGCTGGCAAGTGGTCACTATATTTTCAAAAGCCCCAAATATTTAAACAAACACCCTCATCATCATCGAAATTGATGGAAAATAATAAAAAATGCAACACAAGATACAGAAAAGAACGTCAGCATGGTAGCTTGGACCGATATGCAAAAAATGAGAGAACTTAGATTGTGCTGGTTATGCCTGATCATATCCAGGTCAGCATGTCCATACCCTAATCCAGTCAAGCATGGACGCTAAACAAGGCTTATTTTTCAGTTTCTACAAGAATAAAACACTAATTACAAATATTCTGTAAGATATGTTAATTTATCGTTACTCAACGTAAATTCTTTTAATTTAAATTCCATGCAAGTGATTATATTCATTTTGCTGGGCCCTGAGCTAGGCCTTGTTCTCGTCTAATTTAAAGGTCTAGTGCTGACCACACTTCAGGCTAAAGGAAAATTTGCAGGCATTGCTCGGTAGCTTCTGGCAATTAAAATGAAATATCACAGCAGTAATCGTAAATATAAATAAATAGTTAACCCCGCGCCCGACCCTGCGCGACCTCGCTGGCTCGCTGCTGCCTCGTCCGCTCCGACCCCGCCCGCGACACCGCGCCCGCGCGCGACCCAGCGCGACACCTTTCCTGGGTCGGGTCCGGGTTCGCATTTCCGACCCGTTTACCTAACCGGGTCGGGTTAGGGTCGACCCGTTTGAACCCGGGTCAGTTCCGGGTTCGACCCGAACCCGACCCGTGACCCGAAATTGACACCCCTAATTGTAGCTCAATTCAGTTGCCATATAAGAAGAGAGCTGAAGATGTGCTGATAATATTGGAGATTTACAGTTCAAATTGAAGATATGTCATTTTTTCCGTTGAAAATAAATGAAATGCCATATAAAAAGATAAATCAGTTGGTAATCAAATCAGCTGTGATAGAATAGACTTTCAGCAGTGCTCATGATACCTTGGCTCAAAATTTGGACATATTTCTTGTTCACCGATGTCACCATTCAAAATTAAATGAAATCCAACTGCTGAAATACCAGCTATAATCATATATAATGATATGACAAGTAAATTGTATGGTAGCTAGGATACAAAGCTTAAGAAAGTAACTTGATTTGCAGTTATTAATAAGGAATCTAAAGAACAATTTGTTCATATATCTGGAAGTTCTGAAGTAAAAATGGCTTAAATTAGTTGAAATTGCATGAAGTGGCTTAATTTCAAAGCTAATCAATTTTTAATTACTTGCTTACCTTTACGAAAAGTGTACTAGGAGCCAAAATAGAGTGTGCATCGATGCCATTGAGATAAGCTTTAACTTCAGGAATACCAGACCCAGCTGCAGCTGGAGCACCATAAGCACAAAGGGCAGCCGCTGCAGCGGCCAAAACTAGATTACAACTAGCAAAAGCCACAAATGCCAGTAAGTACCTGCATAAAAAAAAATTATTCAAATTATTGAAACCAAGATAAAGCACAATTCAGTTTATTGCAATAATTCTAAAGATTAAAAAATAGATCTCCATAATATGTAGATGCTTACCTAGGAAATTATTTTTTGAAGTAATATGTAATTTTACATCTTGTAAATAAGAGAAATATTAAACTTGATTTTAGAACATGATATCATGCAAGATGTCTTAGTTTCTATGATTTCCATTAAACATCTCCCATGAAATGTATAAAATAATGTAACACGCATGCGAAATTCACTGGTCATAAACTCTTAATCTTTTAATTATTATTTGTTAATTTTGTGTAAAACAAAAAAATACTAAGAAACTCAATGAAAATCCAATGACCTTTTACTAGAAATTTAGAGTAAAAAGGCTGCAGAACAAATTAAAATTCAGACACTTATTCAAAAGCAAATTGTATTGAATTCTAGCAAAACCAATCACATGATCAAATTCATAACAAAATTTAGAACAAAGAAGAGTAGAAAATTAAAAAGGGTGGAGATAGCAAGCCTCATGCTTATACATAGAGATAAGCTCTTCCGTAAATCTTTAAGTCTCTAATTTGATCAAAATTTTGAATACTGGAAGTACAAAAAATAGCACATCCAATTAAAACTTTATTTAAAACTAAATTGATGAAGTGCATGCTTTAGATCATTATTTATATTAAAAAAAATTATGGAATCCCCTTAACCAATGATTAAAGTAACCACAAAATTCCACATGCATCTATAATTGAAACTGAGAAATCCCACATAGAAGAATTGTCAGCCATGCCACAAATAACAGCAACAGAAGAAGCCCAACTAGAAAATTACAAGAAAGATCGTAAAGTTTTGACAAATATCATAGTAGATGGTTGTTGAACCTGTTGGAGTAGATAGCACCCCAAAATTGTAGGAATATTAGAACAACAGTCCACCGATAGAAAGCCACAGAACAAAGGAGCCAAAAGAAAGAACAAAGAATTCAAGGATATAAGACTAATAAAGAATCAAAGGAATTTTGGATGGTTGTAGGGAATAAGTATCCGGTTGACCTCCGCCTCAAACAAAAAAGAAGAAGAAAATATATAATAAAAAAAATAGATGTTCAAGTCATTAACTGTACAAGCCATGATGTCTACTACAACCCTATCTCTGCAAACGACATCGAATCCATCGCATCTCCTCGATTTTTGCAGGAAACCATCTCTCGCTCACACCAATAAAATGAGAGTGAAGTCTCATTCCATTGGTTCTTTCTTCTTCATCTCCCAACCTCTGAACCTCTCACAAAACCCATCCGACTCCTCGGAAGCTCAAAGCTCCTGACGCTGCTGCCTTCTCCCTCTGATCTCCCAAGCCCGAGCCGCCTATAGCCTTCGATCTCCCTCGAGTTCAAAGCCACAAATCCCGAACCCTGCAAACCACCGAACCTATCCACCTGCATCCGAACCAGTGTCGAATTCCACTTGATCTGTCGACCTCTTCTCTTCCAACTGTCGAAGCTTTACTCATCTCTCTCCAACCAAGCCAATCGAACTCAAGACTCGACTCCGATTCCCCCTCCAGAACTCCAATCTAGCGAATCCACCCGTAAACTACAACCAAATTCCCGACCTCCTTAGACCTGTAGTCCCTTCTTTCTCTCCTGTCATTGTGCTGACCCAGCCACAATCACCTGAACTCCACGACCGTAAACCACAATCAAATTCCCGACCTCCTTAAACCTGCAGTCCCTTCTTTCTCTCCCGTCATTGTGCTGATCCAGCCGCAATCACCTGAAACCCACGACCAGTCTGACTCTTCCTCTCAGCCAAACGCCTCTGCCCTATCCATTTGATCCCACCGAGCATGTGTCGAATCCCTCTAGTGACCTCCCTCAATGAGAAGAGGTGATTGTCCTCTCTCTCTCTACTTATACATAAAAGTATATATGTATGTATTTATCTAGATAAATACACACACAGATATATATCTCTCTCTCTACTTACACATATGTGTGTTTGTTTGTGAGAGGATGAAAAAAAAGTCAAAAAAAGAGAGTGAGAAGAATAAAAAAAAAGAGAGAGAGGAGATGGGGAAAATTTTTAAAAAAATGAGAACAATTAAAAAAAAAGGAATTTTTATGCATTATCACCATCGTCGTCGTCCACACCACATCGTGCAGGTATAACTCCTAAACTTAAAACCCCACATTCGACGTTCGTGTCAAGCCGGAAAATCGCCTATACACGCTTTTCTCTAGCAAAGTAGGAAGGGAACCCGGTGCGACACCTTCGGTTAGGCGGGTAGACCCTATACACGCTCTTTGTAGCGTGGTGTGGACAATCTTAAGTACCCGTACACGACTTTGTACCTGAAGGGAAAGCAAACTGTGCTCTTTTAAAATAGGTACCAAAGATCCATACACGTCTTTCTCTGGCGTGGTGGGATTGAAGCTTTTACGGCTGCGGTGTCCAAGGACACCAACCGTACACGCTTTTATCTAGCATGGCGGGAGGGCCAGTTTCTCCTAATCGGGGGAGACGCTGGGAGATTGCCGAAAATTCCAGTGATCCGTGGACCCGAACTTGAACAAACCACGATGGACTCAAGTGAATATAAACTGAGTTTGAACTTGCAAATGAACCACAGAAAGTTTGAATTTGAACACAATGCAGCGGACCGTACTTGAACTTAAATGAACTACAGAGGACCATAACTGAACTTGAAAGAAAATGAAATAAAAATAACGTGAACAATTGACAGAAGGACTTGAATTGAATAAAAGCAATAGGGAATTGAATTGAATAAAAACAATAGGGAATTGAATTCATAATGACAAGAAGATTTGAACAAACAACACTAAAGAGCTAGACTTGAATGACTTTAAATCAAAGATGATGATGGATTTGATTTGAACTTGACTTGACCAAAAGGAATATAACATTATGCATAAGATGGAGATGTAATCGGCAAAATAGGACTATTTTCCATATAGTTTGAAGCCACCTAAGTTATTTGAAATTTCCATCTCTCCAACAAGGAACTTGATGATGTTGATTTCATATCAATTTGAAGCATTATTACTTCCACTAACTGCTGGAATGCAATCTTTATATTATTTAAAGGATGGCGTTGACAAGTTTTATCATCTAGATCATTGTCGATTAACGTGCAAGCATCAATACTACACAAGAGCGGGTGCAGTTCATCCTATTGGCAAGAATGCACAACATCCAATGAATGCATATTATCTACAAATAATCTAAGAAGGTCATGGAGAGGACACCAAGCATATTACTAATGCCAATTAGCCAATGAAATATATATGTGATGCCTACACATATGGAAGGGAGTATCCAACAAATGTGATTCACCTACAAGTGTAAATCAAGGAACTTGTATAGTGACCCACTCACAATGCAAGAGAGTACATAATGAATACAACAGGTCATACATAAGTGGCCATAAATAATGCATGATGAATGTGTTGAGTCATTGAAAATACTCCTAATGAATATGACAGTACTTAGAATGGGTATTACGAGAGAAAGTTAGTGAGAGAAAGTTAGTGAGAGAAAGTTTGGGATTTCAAATTCTCTGTTTCGGCGGTTCTTGTGGTTGGCGGCGGTTTCTTCCGGCAGTCCGGCGATCTGGAGGAGCGTTGATGGATCAACGTCGTCTCCTCCCTTCAGATGCTTGGAAGAAGTATAGGAAGAGTTTGGCGGCTCCGGTTCTTGACTCTTCTGAAGTTTTTAATGGAGGATCAAAGGTGTTGGAGGGCTTCAATCAGAATTTTAAAGGTTTTAAAGGAAAGCCGCTTGTAATCAATGAGGGTGGTTTACTGAGGAAATCGGAATTTCCCGTCCTGGTGCCTGGCAAAGGTAAGAATGTTATCAAGGAAGAAGGTCTGAGTTTCTTGAAGGATATGCCTTTTCTGGAAGGGAAGGTTAAGGATATTGGTGGTCGAATTTTTGAAAGTTTATCTTCAACTAGTCTGAAAATCTCTTCTTGTAAGAATTTCGATTCGAAATCTTTGCCATCGTCCCCAATTAGGAGAGATTTCTATGATGATGATCTGGTTAATAACAATCCTCGGCGAGCAAGCATTGTGAATGAGGATTTGTCTCTGAAAGAAGGTGATATCATTCCCGAAGTAGTATCTAAAACTGCACATCTAGAAGTGGAATCAGAGGTTATTAAGGGGAATACGGTGCGGTTGCAATCGGCGTGGAGTAAGAAGCAGTATGTTAAAGTGGATAATCTGGAACTGGGCTCTTTTTTATCTGATGATGGTAGAGTTGTTTTTCTACAAGCGGAAAAAGAGGTGGAGAATGCCAAGAGACTTGACAAGGCTGTTGTTGTTAAAGTTTTTCATGATAGTATCCCTTTCCATGTGATCAGTACAGATTTGAGAAGACAATGGGATAAGTTTGGAAAATTCCATATTACAGGACTGGGCCATGGTTGGACTCTGTGTTCGTTGGAAGATCTAGCAGCTGTTGAGCAAGTTCTTACAGGTGGCCCTTCGTGGATTAGGGGTCAAGTGGTTGGATTGGATAAATGGTCGGTCAATTTTAATCCTATGTCTCTTAGTGGCATCTCGTCTCCTATATGGATTAGGATGCCTAACCTTCCATTACAATGCTGGGATGAAGTCAATATCTGCAGGATTGCCTCCCAGGTAGGCAAGCCGTATCTTCTAGATGGGAATTATTTCCAGTGGAGCAAGAGGGAATATGCTCCGGTTTGTGTACGCATTTCCCTGGATAAGTAATTAACACATGGTGTTTGGGTGGAAGGTTTAACAGGTAAGTTTTTTCAGAAAGTAGAGTATGAAGGGATATCTAAGATCTGTGCTGGTTGTGGAAAGATTGGGAACGATTTGAATGCTTGTGATGAGTCGAAGAAGAAGATGGAGATTGAGAAGAACATTATTCAGAATGATAAGGCTAATGACCGGGGTCTTCTCAGAACTGTTACTGATGCTATTGTGGGGGGTTCA